GGGAGGGGTCACATCGTAAAGGAGGAGAGGCAAGAAGTGAGAGAGCGGGCTGAAGGAGGAGGAGGAGAAGAAGGGGAGCGAAAGTGAGTGAAGAAAGTTCTCAGTGAGGGTGAGGTAGGAAGGACCATCTAAGTTGAAGAGATTTTCTCCCCCCACCTCCCCCACTCCGCTTCTCTCCCTTTTTCTTCTGACCAACCGTAAAGAAAAGCATCGCTGAGGAGGAACCGCAGCTGCTGCACAAACATCTTCCATCATCACTTTTACCTGCACATGCGCGCTCCCGATAGCCGGCAGTTGGAGTGCGCGACACGGACGCGAGGAGCCCAGACTGTTCCACCGTGAGCGGCTGCCCCGGCCGACGCTCCTCTGACCCCGGCAGGTGTCCGCTTTACCGACCGGATGGATCCGTGGACGACGTGGCTGCTGTTGGTGTTTGTGACGGTGTCCCACACCACATGGGCAGGTAGGACACTTCTGGACAGTCTCTGCTGTGATGTATACTTATTTAAACTACATTCCCTTACATTTCTTTGGTACTTTGTCCATTTGCCTCAGCTGCCTCCACTGATGGAACGGTTTTGATCTCAGGTCACTGATGCCTCAGAGTTCATGTCAAATGTAGTTCAGCGTCAACTGTAGTCTGTGTGTTGACTGGTTAGACTGGTTAGTCTCACCAGGTCACGCAGACCTACAGCTGGTTGAAGTGAACTGCAGCCCATGCACATTAGCTGCAGAGTGAAGGAGGTCTGAAGGAGGTCTGAAGGAGGTCTATATGTCTGGACCTGTTCACCAGTCTCTAACACTGGAGTGCAGACTGTGCTGCACTGGTAACAGACACTGTAGGTCCAGAACCTTCACTCAGCAGTCATGTGTGGAGAGCTGATGATGAGGTGCCCTGGTAATCCTCAGTAACTTCAGCACTTATTTTTATGAAGGGTTAACGTAGAACAGACACACCACCATGGGGAAAATACACGTTTGAATGTTTTATTTTGTGTCAGTCGTACTTATCTGTTCTTTAAGTCAAGTTTCAAAAGAAGGAATTCTTCGGCTTTTACTTCTAAACTTCTGAGATAACTGCTGACCTTTAACCCTGAGCCTGAGTCTGTCGTTGTTGAAGTTCTGCCACTGTTCTGATTCTGACCTTGATGTCTTTTTTATTTCATGCTCAGGTACCTAAGGTACATGTATCTGCTTTCACTGCTACTGCCCCCTTGTGGACTCACAATAACCTTGAGCACCGTGGTCTATTGAGATGATATTGAACATCTGAAGCCCCAGAGCTTCACTGAAGTCAATCTGGAGCTCAAATGTAATAACACCAACCGAACACAGGTTCAGGGGTGGCGTTGTTGAGCAGCACAGCTTTCATTCCGTCTGTTGTTCTTCCTCTGCACCAGCGTCAGGCTGGACTGCGTTAGTCAGTGAGCAGGTGACTCCACCGTGTTAGTGTCATTGGTCCACTAACCTTCAGGTTACGTGTCTGTAAAGGTCATCACTGACCTCTGGACCTCTAATGTTTTGTGGGGTCAGTCCAGGTCAGGGGTTAACCCTCTTTCCTTCCACACCTGGTGCACGGAGAGCCCCGACCTGTCAATAAGAAGACATTTGTCAGTGGTCCTCAGACAGGTGTCGTCCTGCGTCTGTCCTGCTCCTCTGTAACAGCTGGACTGGACTCAGCTTCACCTCACCTGCCGTTAAACTGTCTTCACTAACATTGACCTCTGACCACTTTCTATGACACTTCCACACCTGGCTGTCAACATCTCGTTAACAGCTCATTGTGAATTATGATGGGGGGGGTGGACGTGGTCAAGTCAGGGTTAACACTCCACTGCCACTGTGTGGCCTCAGGGGGTTCAGACCCCATCGTGTCCCACCCAGCCCTGTAGGTGACGTCACTGACATCACTGACGTCACTGACGTCACTGACGTCACTGACATCACTGACATCACTGACATCACTGACATCACTGACATCACTGACATCACTGACATCACTGACATCACTGACATCACTGACATCACTGACATCACTGACATCACTGACATCACTGACATCACTGACATCACTGACATCACTGACATCACTGACATCACTGACATCACTGACATCACTGACATCACTGACATCACTGACATCACTGAC